GATTGACATAGTTATCATCATTAACACAATAATCATCATCAACATCAGATAATCAACATCATCATTATCATACTTATCATCATTAAAATCATCATCATCAACATCACCAACATCATCATAATTATCACCAACATCATCATTTTCATTATCATTAACATCATCATCATCAGCATCATTATTATCGTCATCAATATTGACATGACCAACATGATGATCATGATCATCATCAACATCATCCTTTATAGGCATTCTATTCATAAAAATTGCGTCAACATTATAATTGTTTAATGGCAACATTAAAATCATCATCATCATCGTTGCCGTCATGATCGCCGTCATTGACAGCATTATAATCATCGTCATCAATATCATCAACATCATCCTCATCATCATAATCAACATCATCCTCATCATAGCCTAGAGAATAAACCGCTCACTAATTAATTAGAGAATGAATCAGTTTCACAGCTTTGGGTCACTAGTATCTGAGTGGTGCCGTGAAAGAGACTAGGGCCTCAACACTTGAAGGACCCTTTTCCACGTTTTCGTTTTGAATAGACCAATTGGCACTAGGTGGGTGCTGCAGTCAACATGACGCCTGCTGCCTTTACTTCACATGCTTCCATTTGGTATCCGTTTTAATGTTGGATTGAGTTCGGAGCCAAGGTTATTTTGGGGAACAAAATAGTGCAGCTCCCTTCAGAAGTGAACCTACGACGTTCGTATACACAGGCGGGCGACTAGCGGCTACACCAGGCAGCTCCAGTCCCGTCTTCATGTAATATTCCTAGAAGGCAGCTGTGGATGTCTGTCGCCAACCCTCATTCAGAAGACGGCACATCATTAATTGTAATGTAAGTCATCTAGTGAACAATCACCCAACAATAGCCGGAACATTCACTTCACAATAGCTGGAACATTCACCCCACAATAGCTGGAACAATCACCCCACTATAGCCGGAACAATCACCCCACAATAGCCGGAACAATCACCCCACAATAGCCGGAATAATCACCTCACAATAGCCGGAACATTTACTTCACAATAGCCGGAACAATCACCTCACAAAAGCCGGAACATAAACCTAACAATAAACGGAATAATCACCTCACAATAGCCGGAACATTCACCCCACAATAGCCGGAACAATCACCTCACAATAGCCGGAACATTCACCTCACAATATCCGGAACAATCACCCCACAATAGCCGGAACAATCATTTCACAATAGCCGGAACATTCACTTCACAATAGCCGGAACAATCACCCCACAAAAGCCGGAACAAAAACCTCACAATAACAGGAACAATCACCTCACAATAGCCGGAACATTTACCTCACAATAGCCGGAACAATCACCTCACAATAGCCGGAACATTCACCTCACAATAGCCGGAACAATCACCTCACAATAGCCGGAACAATCACCTCACAATAGCCGGAACATTCACCTCACAATAGCCGGAACAATCACCTCACAAAAGCCGGGAGTGGGGCTTTACATACATTTTGAAATTGCCAATACCGAGGAGAGACTACAGACTTCTTAGCGTTCACTGGCTGTAAACTCTGGTGGAAAGTTCTGGTTGTTCGACCACTTCTATACTTTGGTCTTGTTCCAAAACATGAGTTTTGCATGTACATCGGTTTTACAGATCCGGTTTATTTTTATGCAGATTGTTAGTTCCTTGCCATTCAGTGAGATACACTCCGTCTTCGAAAAAGACATCCCTAATTAGTCACTTTTTACGACACGCTTGATAGGGACAGTGGGTCCATTCCCCCTCACATTCGCTTCCCCCCCCCCCCCCCCAGTGTGGCTCCGGAACCCACAGCACAGGGTTCACAGCACAGGATTCACAGCACAGGGTTCACAGCACAGGGTTCACAGCACAGGGTTCACAGCACAACGTTCACAGCACAGCGTTCACAGCACAACGTTCACTTCACAGCGTTCACAGCACAGGATTTACCGCTCTGGGTTCGCCGCAAGAATGTCTAAATAGAATTGTAACAGTTTTGTTTCATGTTATTTCCAGCGCGGGCTCCGAGGCTCCCATTCTGGTCACTGCACGAATAGGCCCACTGACTACCAAACAAGCATGTCGTAGTATTCGACTAATTAAATGCTTTCTTCGAAGTGGGAGTGCATCTGTCTAGGAGATAATTAACCAAAGGTCTACATACCGGTGATTCAGAATTGTTAAACGGATGTGCACCCAACACTCCGTTTCTGAAACAGGGCTAGAGTTTAGAAGTGGACGAAACAAACCAGAACTTTTCCACTGGAGTTTACAACCATTGAACGCAAAGAATAATAGGAATACATTTGTCCTGACAAACAAACGAGGTGAACGAGCTGGTTTCCTTATGCTCTGAATATTTTTACATTGGTTTGTTCGGTTAACCCACTGCAGTGTATTTTAACAACCCCAGAGGTCATTACGGAGTTGGTGATTTGTGCTTCGCACTCGGCCACCGGACAATTGCTTCTTAAAGAGAGACTAACCCATTTGGGACAACGCCCGGTGCAATGAAATCAACCCTGTTTCCTTTACACGTTTAGCAATCACACAGAGATAACCTCAACATCCCTTGAGGATTGTTGATTTGTACATTAGTTCTATAATAACGTTAGGAAAGATGAAATACTGGCACCAAAAACTGATTGCCTGTTGGTCGTAATTATTTTTTTACAAGCTGAGGTACTATTGTTTTATATCCATCTGAGACAGAGGTGCGAATTGTACATTGCCCATGGGAACAATTGGCTGCTTGTAATTGTAAGCGATGGAAATGCTAACTGACATATAGTGGGAAATTTGTGCCGGTGTGTCTCCGTGCTGACATTCAGACTTGTAAACTTAACACTGTATAGTATCGGAATGTTGATTCATTTATTTGAAATTATTTCTCATAAAATGAATGTGACATATTGTTTTCTATAGACTGCAATTATTCTGTTGCCTTTTATTATTATAAATGAAATCAAATGTCCAGCAAACTGTCCAAGGTGAATCATGTCTCTCCAGAATCTGCCATCTTCACTAGAATGTACCGTTTGGTGTGCTAACACCCCTCGAAGACATTATATAAAGGTGGTTTTTTTCTCACTCTGTCTTCCTCTGTCTCTTTCCACAGATTTTTCAAGTGGTCATATGCTCCAGTTTTTCACCTTTAAACAATATAATTAAAAAATGATGACTGTCTCTTTTTTTTATTTTTTTTTTCAAATGCTTGTGATAAGTTGTCTTTGATTCCACGCCTCTTTCAAAACATCCAAGTTGCTCTTTTGGATGCCCAAGGAATTATAAGGATTCTTCTGTAAAACCACATCTTTGGGAAATCGAGAAATCTGTTGGCTTGTTTCTAATTGTCCTGGATTCATAGTAAAAGTTGCTCTCTCTCTATATAAATATTCTTGATTTTATAAATGCATATTTAGTGTGTCCGATACATTTATTAACATTATCAATAAGCCTGGCCTTTACAAAACGTCTCTCTCTCTCTCTCTCTCTCTCTCTCTCTCTCTCTCTCTCTCTCTCTCTCTCTCTCTCTCTCTCTCTCTCTCTCGATCCCTATGTTTATTGTTTATTCGAGGGATTACCGTCATGACACACGGGTGTAACCCATAAGTGCTCAGTCCTACTTCTAACTTGAGCCTAAGTCTGGAGAATCTCAATGCAGTGCACGAAGTCTGTATAACTGGGGCGAGGTTCCTGAAATAGTTTCTCTTTATATCTATAAATGTGTGCTGTCATAGCCAATACTATGTGCTGTCATAGTCAACCCTATGTGCTGTCATGGCCAACACTATGTGCTGTATTAGCCAACCCTATGTTCTGTCAAAGCCAATACTGTATGCTGTTATGGCCAACCTATGTGCTGTCATGGGCAACCCTATGTGCTGTCATAGCCAATACTACGTGCTGTCATAGGCAATACTATGTGCTGTCATGGCCAACACTATTTGCTGTTATAACCAATCCTATGAGCTGTCATAGCCAACAATATGTGCTGTCATAGCCAACCCTGTGTGCTGTCATAGCCAACCATGTGTGCTGTCATAGCCAACCCTATGTGCTGTCATAGCCAACCCTACGTGTTGTCATAGCCAACCCTATGTGCTGTCATAGCCAACCCTACGTGCTGTCATAGCCAACACTATGTGCTGTCGTAGCCAATGCATCTTTAATGTCTTGTATCCTCCACGGGGGTCCATCTGTGCTTAGCTGCCACTCCTTAACATTCCTTAGCCTAAATGCTTGGCACAAAGAAACCGAACCAGAATTATAGCCGAAACTGCTCGCAGTAAGTTGAACGTGGTCGGTTCTTTGTTTCAGTTTCATAAAATAGATACATGGATGATCCACCACAATTCTCTCCATGCCACGTTTTTATCCTTCTAAATCTGTGGTAATCTAAGAATGTTTCTGTAGCATTTCAGTTCGAAAGCTTCATTTTTTTTTTAAAATTGACTGGGTAAGAGTTCATGACTAACATCAAAAAGTGACAAGGGGAAGGATGCATGATCTTAAAATGTTTACTCCAACCAGCTTGCATGTGTTATGTATGCCGTAGGTACTACAGGCTGTCTAGACCTTGCATTGCTTAAGTGTCTTTTTCTGACTACCTCTGTGGGGTGGCTCTCTCTCTCTCTCTCTCTCTCTCTCTCTCTCCCTCTCTCTCTGTATCTCTCTCTCTGTATCTCTCTCTCTGTATCTCTCTCTCTGTATCTCTCTCTGTATCTCTCTCTGTATCTCTCTCTCTGTATCTCTCTCTGTATCTCTCTCTGTATCTCTCTCTCTCTGTATCTCTCTCTCTCTCTGTATCTCTCTCGCTCTCTCTGTATCTCTCTCTGTATCTCTCTCTTTCTCTCTCTCTCTCTCTCTCTCTCTCTCTCTCTCTCTCTCTCTCGATATATAAACATCGTTTCTTGCGTGTAAAAGGTTTTTTCTATTCGAGGTTTATGTGAAGAACATTTATTCTGTTCCAGCCATGACCAGCCCACGAATAGTCGTTCTCGTTGCCTGCATCCTAGTGGTTCAGCAAGGGATACTCGCTCTTCCCAGAATGTCCACCAGACAGTTCGCCAGCGTTAACTATCCTACGAGGGTTGTTCGAGAAAACGTGGTAAGATTAACCATTTACTTACAACACAGAGTTTTTGTTAATTGAAAATGTCAACGTTGTTTAAACTGAAGAGAATCAACTTCATTGCACCTTTTTTTTTTTTCGTAAACGACCAAATGATCATCATCACGTAGCAAGTCCTTTGCAGAACGTCGCTCTCATCACGGTCCGCCTGAAAGAAACTCGGTCTCTATCAGCTCTCCCGACTCATGTACTTTCATTCTCAAAGAGTCACTTATATTCTGTGTCCATCTATGTGTTGCTCGGTCCCTGCCCCTTCTTCATTGTACAACGCCTTCTGTTATAATTTTTTTTTTTTCAATTCGTCGTGGCGCTTAATATGATCAGTATATTTCAGCTTTCGAGACAGAATGCTGTTTATGAGCCAATATTCCATAAAGTTCAGACTCTTTTTTGGCTTCCATGATGAGTTATTTTTTTGGGGGGGGGGGGGGGAGGGGGTGGGGGGGGGAGTGGGAGGGGGGGGGGGGGTTGGAGTAATGTGGTAGAATCAAAACGATAGCTAGCTTATACCTGACGCTGTGATAAAACTTCAGGATTTGTGGATCGTAAGTCTAAAGGTTATAGAGCCCAGCTACTGAGTTGAGTGCTTGGTGTGACACGCTGAGCTGTCAATTTAATTTTTTTTCATTTTTACGCTCGCCGTTGTTCCCGCGGTGAGTTCTTAACTGCACTAGAATATCGGTAAAATGGCAGCTGGCCAGTTACGACCAGAATGACCTGTACTTTCGCAGTTTCAAGTCCAGTTTTCGTGACAGACCGTTTGTGCTAAAGGTAATCTACAATTCTGGTGTGGTACCGCTTGTGTTGGGACAAATGACCGCTGCGTTATATATTTTAATTTTGAGTGTGCAAGCTTTAAGATTCTGCTGGGACTGACACGATATTTTACTGTGACTGACAAGTTCTCACTAAAAAGGGAACATCGAAGTATATTTTGCATCATTTCTCTTGGTACCGAAAAGAAAGTCCTGTACCGTTCGCATTTGAACCAACAATCTTGAGATCCGCAGGCAAACATCTAGCCGCTACACCACGGCCGTTTCCTTCAGTTCAATACTACACAATATAAATTTACATATGGCATAATAAAACACAAAATATGTACCTCAGTGATTTCGGTCAAGGCATAAGCGAAATGTCCGGGCATTTTGCTGTGTTTAGGAAAATACTGGGTGACTGACGAACCTGCAGGCTCTTTGATGGTTTCACAGATCTTCATTCCAAAACTAATGCCACATAAGCCTTCTTTTGTATTATAATTCTTCATATTTATACCCCCCCCCCCCCCCAATTGCCTCTCCCAGTTACGTACTTCTTGGTTTTATGTTGTTTTGTCCATTGAGTTCTCCAGTCAGTTTGTGCTGTATAGTAGGCCGTTAATAAAGACTTTGGTCAAAACGTTCGGTTATGTTTGTGTGCGTCTTTTCCATTTCCTCTGTTCAGCTGCCTAGTCACATTTCTCGTTGTATTCATCATTGAATGCCTCACGGGGTAATGGCCTCTGCCTAAGCACAGATGGCAGGGGATCTCTGAGTTAGAGTTAGTGTGCTCTAAAGGTTGTCTAGAAATCCTCTCTAACTTACAAATCTATTTTTTTTGCCTGAGAGATAACGCCCACCGAAAACTCATTTGGAATAATAGTGCAGTTCCTCAAAGGCGTCTCCTACTCAATTACACACTCTATTTCAAACAACTGCAGATTATGTCCAACTGTATGACTACTTGGTTCAAATATGCGTTCCTCAGTACTACGAAGTGACAGTAAATGTTCAGCTGTCTTTTACTCGAAGATCATACTTTATGAGACTCTTCGGAGTGAAGTGACCATACACAAATCTATACAAATACTGGGCCGCGTTAGCGTAGTCGATAGGAGACTCGCTTTCAAATCCAGCTGCCACTCGCTGCAGCCCACGACTGGTGTTCGAAACCAGGCGGTTCCCGGATTCCACCTAAAAGGGTACCAAAGTTAACACTCTGGGTTAAATTGAGGAACGTGGTTGTCGCTACGATGTTTTGGTGCTGACAGCAACACACTCTAACAGTTTCTTGTCAGCTGTCCGTACAGGTGACAGAGCACTTATAGTGTATAACCATGTACAATGACGCTAGTTCACATTTCCCGACTCCCCCCCCCCCCCCACCATATTTTTTTTTACATGATGCATGCCTTCCATAAATGCTGCACAAAGTGCCCCGGAGCAGCTGTGCTACAAATGCCACTGGCACAGAGAGGGAGGCCTAACATGCTGAGAAATCGAGATGCTTATTCTATGAAAGTAATCGAAGTCTCGGGTCTGTGGATTTTTTTCTTGGGGATGTTAATGGATGCAGGCCGTGAAGAGCAGAAAGCTGAATATTTGGATCTGAAGTAAAGTAGTCATGTTTAAGACTTGACAATTCCTTGGGTGAGCCCGGTACCAGAGCGTTATGTATTAGCTCTACACTGATGGAAGCCTTTTGGATGGCGAGGAATGCTTATTTTTGATTCTGTCTTCCCTTTAGGATTGAACAGTCTGCACGCGACTCTCCTGGACGATTGCTCCAAGAATAAAATCTGTAGAGCTGGGGATGACGACCACATCTCGCAAATGAGGCTTAATGTGTCCCTATTTCTTCCACAAAACTAAATGGGAAGGTAAACACGGAAAACATCGGCTCCAATAAGCAAATATCGCAGCTATGCTTAGACGGATACAACACATTTACTTCACTCAAACTAATGATAAAGAAGAAAAAAGAATTAGGATCCTTTGAGCTTAAATGTGATTTTTACATGGTAAATCTCACTAAGAAAGTATTATAATAATCATGTGATCACATAACTTTTTGTCTCTAATTTATTATTGCCACAAAAAAATGTACCTTTTCCTCCCCAGTGCAAGAACTATATGGAAACGTGTGTCCCCTGGGAGACTAGTTGCTGCAACAACATGGAGTGCATGAACCTGGCCAGAGGCTACTGCCTCTTCCCGCTGGAGAAATGTGTATGCCAGAAAGTCTCTTCCGATATTTACTAATTCGTAAAACCAGTCACAAACAATCCTAGAAACATGAATTTATATATGAGACTCTGGTTTACATCGCTCTTTTTGCTTTCTTTCGTAGCAGTTGGACATATAAACATTCTTGCTATATAAAAACAATGAAATTAGAACAATTATCTTATTTCAGTTTTGGTTCTTTAAAAATTATTATGGCCAAGCTCTCCAAATTTTTTCCCATTATACTTTCACATTTCTATGTAATTATATCTGCTTTCCTCAGCTCTTATGGGGTAAATGCCGAATTCAGCACTTGTAAAATTTGCTGCCTGATTTTCCGAAAAACATTTTCTATTACAAGAGATAATTTTGTCAGACATTTAAAGTAGGGAATTTTATTTTTTATTTTTTAATAGAAAAAAAAAGTAAACGTGACTTTAATGCAAATTATGTAATTATTATTAAAAAAATAAAAATAAAGTAATCTTATTTCTTTTTTGTGTCGTCTCCTATTATTTGTCTGAGTCTCAAATCCTCATCGTGTGTTTAAGATACCATGTCTCTCCTTCCTCCATCTCTCTCACCCTGCCTATGTACTTTGCCATGTGGATTTTAAAGAAAAGACATAAAAATTATATTCTTTATAACATGTTTCATTTCTTGTAAAACTATGCCGTCTTTACCAGCGTATTCATTTTTCAAATTCCAAGTGATAGGGGAAATGGGGATTCATATTAATTACAAAATGCACAGCTTGACTCCAATGCAAAAGGTTAATAATAAAAGATTTCAGACATTATTTTAGAAAATTAAAGAAAAAAATTTAGAGAAAGTACAGTTAGCTCTGAAATGAAAGGCTTGTTTACTTTATTTAAACAATACACAACAAAATAACTGTTTCAGCAAGTACGTAGTGCATCATACAGTTAATACAGCGACATCAACAATTATTACATCAGTTACTACTGCTAATTCTTCTTCTTCTTCTTTTACTTCTTCTCTTCCTTCACTTCCTCCTTCTCCTCCTTCTCCTCCTTCTTCTTTTTCTTTTACTTCTTCTTCTTCCTTATCTGCATCATCATCATCACAACTATCATCATCATTTTTATAATCATCATTATGATCTAATTATAATTATTGTAATTCTCTCTAATCTTCTTCCTAATGATCTTCATTCTACTTCTTCTTCTACTTTTCTTTCTCATGATCATCATTATCGTCATTCTCTTCTTCTTCATCTTCTTTTTCTTCTCTTTCTTCTTCTTCTTCTCTTCCAGACACCTCATCAAAGTTTTGCGGTGGAAACATGCAAGGATCTTCCTTGTGCTCTTTCTAAAATATTCTATACGATCATTCCCGTTTCTGTAGGAATGTCCTGTTTATTATAATTATGCGACAAGCTGGGTGTTCAATTTGATCTTCGACTTGACTTGACTTTCTACCCCACTAGGACATCACACAAGCGATAAACAACCGATGACACAAAGTGCCACCATGCGGATGAGGATCGCCGTGGAGAGGTCCCAGAAACCGCGTTCAGACACTTGGCCATATTTTTGGCCTGCCTATATTGCGGCCCCTGGCAAAAGCCAGGGTGGGGCTTCAAATGACACAAAATTTCGCCCTAATAAGGACGAAACTGTGTGTTCAATTTGATCTTCAACATATTCACATTTCTATAAAACTTGAAACACCAGCTGCATCAGTGATTAGGAAACCTGGAGACATCTGATAGTTTAACCGCGGTCAAAGGGAAGGGTTAGTTAGTTGCTTATCCTTTACAGGACGTTGCAGAACCAACAGCCCCTGGCTGTTGTGGTTGTGTGGTTTTTCTAGGCAAATAGTAGTTTGCCATTGCCTCTGGACGGTCGGCTTTCTTGATACCACTGTCAAAACCAACGCAAGGCGCATGGCCCGCAGCTGGAATCGAACCCGGCATCCCGGCATTACCAAGCGTGTCAAAGAGAAGACATTTCTAATTATACAGTATTCAGTCATATTTTAGTTTGGACATCTTCATGCTGTATCCATATTTGAGCACTAATTCACCTAGGGGATTTAATATTTAATGCAATTGTGTCTAGCATATGTGAATTACATCCCTTGTCCTTGACTACTTGTGAAAGCCATTATTTAATTCTTCTGGCCACATACGCGTCGATTTTGCAAGTGGTCAGACTGAAACGTGATTTTCATCAAAGATAAAACATATGATTTTTATCTATTCTTGTAGAGGGCTGCGTGGTATGGAGGTGTCCGCCTCGATCGCTAGAGGTTCCAGGTTCAATTCCCAGTAACGGATAAGAGTTATGGCCCGGCTTTAATTAGGGCCCTCAGCACAAGCCGAGGTGGAGCTTCAAAATAACCAAAAAAATTCATCCGACTTGTACTAAAGGAGCACCAGTAAACCAATAGTTAAATTTATTGGCACGGTGATGATTATTTCGTGCGATTCTTTTTTTTTTTATTATACATTGTGCCGAGGGCCCTAAATATAGCCAGGCCATAAAAATGGCCTAATGGCTGAATGAGATTTTCGAGACATCTCCACGGGTGATCCTCATCTGCATGGTGGCACTTTGTGTCACTGAGTTTTCATCACGTGTGAGATGTCCTGGTAGAGTACAACTAACCTAACTGGTTCTCCATTTATTCAAAAATGTTTGTTTTATCTTGATTTGGTCCATCAATACACCACAACGACCTTAATGGGTCAAGGGCTATGTTATGTTATGTCTTGAAAGTGTGTTAGTGAGTTCCAACCCCACCAGGACCACACGACCAGCAATGAACACCCTTTGACACAAAGTACAACCATTTTGATAAGCATTGCCCTCCTTCAGGTCCCTCCTTGTTAGATGGTCGATGCTGTCGTTAGGGTCAGGGCCTGCCATATGTCTGTATAGATACATACACACTCATACACGCGTACACATATACATATATACATACACGCACATATACATATATACATACACGCACATATACATATATACATACACGCACATATAGACATAAATATGAGCATTCATTTACATACATTTCTACACAGAACACATTTACACATTTATAAATATACATACAGACAGACGAACTTAAAAAAATAATAATAAAATAGCTATTTGCTTATTTTTTACAGGACTTTGCAGAACCAACTCTAGCAAATTTGAGCTGTTGTGGATTTTATAGGCAAATATTTTGACATTTAGTAGTTTGCCATTGCTTACTGGAGATCAGTTCTGGATACCACTGTCGAAACCAACGCAAGACGTCCTGCTTCCAAATCGCCTGCAGCCTGGCATTACAAAGCGCGTTTGCAACGCCTAAACCACAGAAACAGACACATATAAATAAAGTAAAGGACCCTTTTCCCACGGCTTTCTGGGGTAATGGGTATATAGGGCTAGACCTATATTGTATAGACCAACGGCACAAGATGGGTGATGTGGCCAGTATCACGCTGGCCGCCTTTACTTTCCAGGATTGCACCTAGTACCCACTCAAGGCTGGGTCGAACTGGGAGCCAAGGTCCCTTCTGAAAAAACTCCGGCTCCGTCAGGGAGCGAACCAACGACCTTCCGATCCTCAGGAGAGCGTCTAGCCGCTACGCCACAGCGACTCGCTAAACTGACACACATAAACTAATATATTCATACCTGCACATAAATAGACAATCACACATACACTCATCTTTAACACACACTGGCCCTAGGGGTGCTATAGCAACCAGCATACCCTCAGTATAATTTAATAAGTCTATCAAAAAGGTGAATCTACATTATGTGGTTTTGTAGTGAAAAGAAAAGCCACAAGTACGTAGTGACAATGGAATAGTTAGAGCGAAAGAGAGGCAGGGAGCGACTGAAAGAGATGATGGTTGACAGTTCGACATCATGACAATGTAGAACTTGTGTATCATAAGTACACGAGATAGTTAAGTAGGCTGTACACAGCAGTGGTAGGACATAAACAATTCACATTTGTAAGCGTTAGTTGGTAAAAATTAAACCAGATAGTTTCCTCCTCGTCGCTTCACTGATGAGAGTATGCATGCTCAGCTAACCTTGCAGTACTAGTAATTGGTAGCTTTTCCTCCCTAAAGTTTATGTATGAGTGGCGTAACCATGCAGATTTCACAGCTCAACCTCAATCTAGCACGATAACCACAAAGAGAAAGCATCAGCATGTTGCAGTCAAAGATACAACGTGTAATTGGCTGCGCAGTAAAATATTTAGCCAGATTTCGTTAGTACACACAGACCAAACATAGAAGACAGAATAGCATGAACTGTGTTGCGGTCATACACATGGGCAGTTGCTAATAACACATCTTCTATTTCTTCAGACTATGTATGCGATCCCCCCCCCCTTTTTTTTTCACCCCCCCCCCCCCTCCCCATGCCCATTTTCTTCCGACCTGCAACAAAGTCGCGGAACTGGCACCGAAAAGACAGAAAAATACCTGCGATTTCATTTTTTTTTTCTTCAGATTATAAAACCCACAGTGATTGGTTATCGTTTTCTGTTTCAAAGGGTTAATGAGTTGTAGACCTTGGTGATAACACTAATGCATGTTATCAATTATTTTCTCAAATGTACGATCCAGAATATACTTGAGTGTTGAGCGTGGGCCAGATCCATTGGTAACTCATCGCAGCGCCATTCTCCTCATACCAAAATGATCTATTTGTGCCTCCGCACAGTTCACACGCTCCCACAGGGTCTTCACAATATCTAGATTGTCATTCATCAGTTTACCACCCAGTGGTGCAGAACCCGCCTATCTGCTTGTTCGTTTCCCAACACGCCAGCATTACTGAAGGAAATTTTCAAAGGACGTCCGTGATCTCTGAAGCGATGCTTGCCACTCTGCATGGAGCATGCCTGTCTCCACTTTTCTCAACATGCCTTGAGAGTCAGTTACAATTACGACCCGTATGTACAGCTGATTCTCAAGCCAACAGAAGACAGCATGACTGCCTCCACCTCCATTCTCAACGTAGGAGTTGTGACATCATATGCCGGACTTTCCTGCA